CCTTTAGTGTTCTAGATGAGGCTGCAGGGTTCTAGGTGAGGCTGTAGGGTTCTAGGTGAGGAAGTAGTGTTCTAGTTGAGACTGTATTGTTCTAGATGAGGCTGCAGTATTCTAGATTAGGCCGTAGTGTTCTAGATGAGGCTGGAGGGTTCTAGGTGAGACTGGAAGGTTCTAGGTGAGACTGTCGTGTTCTAGGTGAGGAAGTAATGTTCTAGGTGAGGCTGCAGTGTTCTAGATGAGGCTGTAGGGTTCTAGGTGAGACTGTCGTGTTCTAGGTGAGGAAGTAGTGTTCTAGGTGAGGAAGTAGTGTTCTAGGTGAGGCTGTAATATTCTAGGTGAGGCTGTAGTGTTCTAGAGGAGGCTATAGTGTTCTAGATGAGACTGTAGTGTTCTAGATGAGGCTGTAAGGTTCTAGTTGAGGCTGTAATGTTCTAGATGAAGCTGTAGGGTTCATAGGTGAGACTGGAGGGTTCCTAGATGAGGTTGCTAGGGTTCTCAGATGATGTGTCTAGGTTGTAGTGATGCTGTAGTGTTCTAGGTGAGGCTGTAGGGTTCTAGGTTAGGCTGTAGTGTTCAAGATGAGGCTGTAGTGTTCTAGATGAGGCTTTAGGGTTCTAGGTGAGACTGGAGGGTTCTAGATGAAGGTGTAGGGTTCTGGATGATTTTGTAGGGTTCTAGGTGAGGCTGTAGTGTTCTAGTTGAGGCTGTAGGGTTCTAGTCGAGACTGTAGGGTTCTAGATGAGGCTGTAGAATTCTAGATAAGACTGTATGGTTCTAGGTGAGGCTGCAGGCTTCTAGGTGAGACTTCAGGGTTCTAGGTGAGGCTGTAGGGTTCTGGGTGCGGCTGTAGGGTTCTATGTGAGAATGCAGTGTTCTAGGTGAGACTGGAGGGTTGTAGATGAGGCTGTAAATTTCTAGATGCGACTCTGGGGTTCTAGATGAGGCTGTAGGGTTCTAGGTGAGACCGTAGTATTCTAGGTGAGACGGTAGGGTTCTAGATGAGGCTGTAAAGTTCTAGATGAGGTTGTAGCGTTCTAGATGAGGCTGTAGGGTTCTAGATATGTCTGTAGTGTTCTAGATGAGACTGGAGTGTTCTAGATATGGCTGTAGGGTTCTAGATGAGGCTGTAATGTTCTAATTGAGACAGTAGTGTTCTAGATTAGGCTTTAAATTTCTAGATGATTCTGCAGGGTTCTTGGTGAGACTGGAGGGGTCTAGATGAGGCTTTAGGGTTCTATGTGACTCTGTAGGGCTCTAAGTGAGACTGTAGGGTTCTACGTGAGACTGTAGGGTTCTAGGCGAGACTGTATTTTTCTCTGTGACTCTGTAGGGCTCTAGGTGAGACTGTAGGGTTCTAGGTGAGGCTGTAGGGTTCTATGTGAGACTGTATGGTTCTAGGTGAGACTGTAGGGTTCTAGGTAAGACTGTAGGGTTCCATGTGAAACTGTAGGATTCTAGATTAGGTTGTAGGGTTCTAGGTGAGGCTGTAGGGTACTAGGTGAGATTGCAGGTTCCTAGGTGAGTCTGTAGGGTTCTAGGTGAGTCTGTAGGGTTTTAGGTGAGGCTGTAGGGTTCTAGGTGAGACTACAGGTTTCTCGGTGAGTCTGTATGGTTCTATTTGAGACTGTAGGGTTCTAAGTGAGACTGTAGGGTTCCATGTGAGAATGTAGGGTTCTAGGTGAGACTGTAGGGTTCTAGATGAAACTGTAGGGTTCTAGGTGAGACTGCAGGTTTCTAGGTGAGCCTGTAGTGTTCCAGGTGAGACTGTAAGGTTCTAGGTGAAATTGCAAGATTCCATGTGAGACTCTAGGGTTCTACGTGAGACTGCAAGGTTCTACGTGAGACTATAGGGTTCTAGGTGAGACTGTAGGGTTCTAGGTGAGACTGTAGGGTTCTACATGAGGTTGTAATGTTCTAAATGAGACTGTTGGGTTCTAGATGAGTCTGTAATGTTCTAGGTGAGACTGTTGGGTTCTAGATGAGTCGGTAATGTTCTATGTGAGGCTGTAGTGTTCTATATGAGGCTGTAATCTTCTAGGTAAGGCTGTAGGGTTCAGTGAGACTGTAGGTTCTAGTTTAGGCTGATAATTTTCTAGTTGAGGCTGTAGGTTCAG